TCAACACAATACACTGAAAGCGAACGACAGGAGATAGCGTCCTACGGGTATTCGTAAAGGTAGAATAATTGCATTTGTCCCCTGAAGGTTGTATTTTGTTTCACATGTTGATCTAATCTTCAAGTTTGAATAAATATTGTAAAATGTATTTTATATGGTTTTATTTTATCTTATTTTTTTGGCTATGAGTAATAAAAAGGTATAATCAATATGTTTACAAAAATTGTAAGGGTAATAACATATTTATTTTAATATATTTTTAATTTTTAATGGACAAATTCATGAATTCAATAGTTAAAAATTGATTTGCTAAAGCGATTACAATCGCTTCAATGAGTTGTACTTCTGGTTTTCATACCAAAATCTATCTTAAAAATTATTAGCTTAATTATAAATTTATTTTAATATTACAATAGCTAGTACTACTTATGAAAATGATTTTTAAATTAAATTTTTTCCTTTTATTTTAAATATATTTACGCATTAAAATTATTTAACTAATTGTGGTAATATTGACTAGTATATTTTTTTTAAAGTTTGACTGTCGAGTCGAAATTTTAACCGGATTCCTAGTTTTTCTGTTTGTTTAATTAACGGCATTGTATATGTTTCTGAATACATATATATATATATATATATTATTATAGCCAAAATAAACTTCTTATATGAGCTTTGTATTAAGTTTATTTTTTGAAAACCTTATTATTAAAAAAAAAGCCATGAATTTATACAATTATAGATTAGTCATATCGCCATACTTTTTAAAATACGATTACGAAGTCGACTGCTTATGTTAATGAATATTGTATTATAAAAAACGACTAGTGTAAACAGTGAAGACGATTGTTAGTTAAGCATTTTTTTTGTAAATAGATATTTGAATTTATTGTTACAGACTTCAACTCAAATCACTGAACCTGCAATATCTTTTGGTTAATTTATTTTTCAAAGGTGTTTTTTTTAAACATTATTTATGGAATATTTACATTGCACGAAGGTTGTGCGTGTATTTTAACCATAACGACGTTGTGAACACTTTTCTATAACAGTGTTTAGTGTTTGGACCGTACACTAAATATCTGTTTCCGCCCATTTTTATCACCTTGTTTATATAACTCTAGACGCGATTATCTTGAATACACATAGTGGGTGGCTTATTATGTGGTCTTACTGAACTAATATGTTTATGGGAGATGACAACGATTCGTGTCAAACTAGTTACCCAACTTAAAAATAAAAATAAAAAATAGTGTTACTCCTATAGTACATTAAATTTGGTAACATAGGGCAGTGTATTAAATATTTTATAGAAAGATTGAATATTACTAATTATTAGATGTAGTAATGAAAAAAAATTAAATTTCACGAGTTAAAAAGTCACCAGTTTTTTATTTTTGTTAGACAGCGTTATTTATTTTTAACTATAAACAACTTTCCTCTTGAAAATAGTAATTAAGCTATGTTTACTTAAATACTGTATTTTATGATTAAAAGGTATAAAGAACATTTGTTACACTTAGAAGGTAGATCATTGTACAACTTTTTACTAAGAGAACATATAAGAGTATTTGTATTGTCCTTCCCTTTTTGGTTAAAAGCCAGAATTATTTTTCTATTTTTTAAAAGTATTAAAGGCGTTTTCATATTTTTTTTGGCGGGGGCAATAAGCATAAGAAATTTTTGAATATCTCCAAAATATATCTGTACCATTTCTTTATTTTTATAATGGGGGTTTTATTCTTTATGAAAGCATATAAAAGTATTTATAAAATATTGTGCATGTAATATAGTTATCCCCCTTGCTTTTTGTCATTATTTAAAGAAATTTGTGCGTACTAGAAAAGATAATAAAGAATAAATGTAAAAAACATAACATTTTTATGCCGACCGATAAATTTTTCGAATAATTATTTTATGTTATAAATAAAAAGTGAACAATGAACATAGTTATAGCGATATCTTAAGACTGAACTTCGTTAACAACATAATTATTTTTAATATAATAATATTTTAGCTATACTCTGCACTAGTAATTAACAGTTATTATATTACTTGGAGTTTAATGGTTTTCGTTATACCTACATAGCGTATTATATCTGTTTCACACTTGTGTATAACTTTGATAAAATTACAATGAGTTAATGACGTTGTACTATTTACAAAGTATGTGTCTGTGGGCTGTGCAAAATGAACATATTTACTGTTCTGGTTCTATTTGAAATCAATGTATTTGAGAACTCTAACAAGGTTCTTGTACATAACATTTATAATTTGTATTAGTATTTGAAAATTTTGTTAAATAAATTTAAAAAATTGTATTTTATATAAACTATTTTATTATTATTTGATAAGCTACGATTTCAATATAGTTTGTTTAAAGAGAAAATAAATATATTAATCATTAAAATTCAAAAAGTAAAATATTTCTATTATAATTCAGTTTTTTTTAGATTTCATATAATAATTATAGTATCTAATTATTGATTTAACTTTATGATTATATTGATGACATTTTCATAAATAATTATTTTAACGAGAAAACGTTTACTGAGATTTGTCAAATATACAAATGAATTAATAAAAACTGCTTAAATAATGTATGGGTCACTTATTTGAAGCGACAGCTTATATTTTAATAACTTTTTTGGTGAAAAACAACTATAGAAAATCAAAATAAAATAACAAATTTTATATCCCTAATACAAAATCTTCAATTTTTAAGTTTTTGAGTTAATTAATTTTAGTGGCTAAATTCATAACTAAGGAAAAGTTCATCGATATCATTCATTACTTTATGTATTGAAAAGAAATAATATCTAAGGATATGTAAATAAAATAAAAAATTATTTTACTATTTTTTTTATTAAATTTTGATGAATTAATTTCCTAGGAATTATCAAGTAAAATGTCATCGTAATTATGTCCCTTTATTTACACATTGAATTATTTTAAATTAGCTTCTGAGTTGAAGTTAATTCATTGTACAAGTTACGAAAAAGTGATTTTTTTATACTTATTTTGAAATATTTTAAAACTATGTTAGTTCTTGTAAAAAAAAACTCCTTTTTATGTGTACCATCTAGTGAGTGCAATCGTTGTTAGATTGAAGGAGGGAACTGTTGTCGTGAGGGGCGATAGTATTCGCACGCGGTTGCAAATAATAAAATGGACCAGACAGAGTGCAGGTCCCCTTCATTTCTTCTTGTACACCCGCCGACCGGTCTGCTATTTTGCAGACAGGCCTACGGGTGTGTACAACTTGTGTTAGTGTACTGAAGGTGCAGCTGGGAGGGTTTAAAAAAACTTTCCAAAACCTTCCCCTGGTATTCCAGACAATACAGACGTGCGCCAACCCTTCGGTCCAACGTTACCCTATTGAATATCTACGCTTCTTTTCTCTATAGCCATGAGTACCGGTATACTACAATACTTTATGCTGGTTAATTATTAAAACTGTCTGCAAAAATTGTGGTAGTGGTAAAAATTGTCGAAATTTACTAAAATCATACAAAATCATTGCGATTTAAATATTCATATTTAATTAAATGTTATTTAAAATTATTTATATAGTTTCAGTGGTACAAATAGTGTGATTTATGGGGTTGTAACACCCCCCTGAAATTATAAGTATTATAAATGGAAAAAAATTGTTAAATAATCTTTTTTTCTGTCCATTGAAATATAATTCAGTATTGATCATATATTATTGTATTATGTATTATATCATGTAATTTTTATGATAAAATTTTATTGTTTGAGTCATTAATTCATTAAAAGTTTCCTAATTAAACATTAAATTTGCATTTATTAATTTATTTCTAAGAAATTATGTTTTTTGTGTTTGGACTATCTTGTAAAATTATGTAGATACTTTGTATTAAAAAAATAAGCAAAATCTAAAACCTATCTGTTTTTATTTGTGATAATACTATTTTTTTAATAGTATAAAAAATGCATTTGTTTTATAAAATCAGTTAAAAAGAACGTATTTAACGTATCTAACTATTTTTTTATTGCGATATGAAACAATAAGAGGGAATTTATAATAAAAAAAAAAATTATATTAACTACTTTATCGATACACTAATAATATCAATATTAATATTCAAAATCTGATCTTAATAAAATCAAAGTCTTTGTAGGCTTAATAATAGATAATAAAGCAAATTTTAAATTATTATTTTATTAAAAGAACGAAATTTATAATTTTTTCATACATTTTATTTTAATTAATGTTCAATATGATATTAGAAGCCTGATAATTACAATTATCACTAAGAAATAGAAAAAGATGATCTGAGATAAGACTACTAGTCAGTGTTGCTATTCGTGTACTCTCGCTAGTTTGAAAGGTCTGTGACAGATCTTTCAAACTCCTTTTACTTGATAAATTGTCAGATTCTTGGAGAACGATTCTGCTTCCTCTCCTTGAGGAGTTATCACCCTCAGAGGTGAATTATTTATATATCGATAGATAGGACTCCTATTATAGGCACAAGTAGAATGAAATTTTCAAGGGTGCTAAAATAATTTTGGACCCCCTAAGTTAGTAAAAAATGTTGCTCATAGTTTATTTTTACACTATACATTTTAAATAAGTATAATGTTTCATTGAATTATTTTTGTCTTTTGATCATTTATATACCTATGTTTATCGTTTATATTTTCAAACGAATGAAAGTTTTAAGGCCCCACTTCTTAAATAAATCGATAAACATACGAGAGATCCACTAGAATAATTCTGGTTTTATAATTGGCCCATTCATCTTTGATTGTTCCCTATTAAAATAAAAGAAAGATAAAATTTACTTTGAGTAGTAAAATTAATTTTGGCGTTTAAACATATTGCACTCCATTTGAAAAAATTAATATTGCCTCCATTTAGAAGAAGTATCTTTGTAAAGATATAACAAAGTGGTAAAAGATAAGAAAAGACAGCTAATTAATAGATACGTTGAAATTTTATAGTTTTTTTTAAATATTTTGTCTTTTTTTTACAGAAAATTACTGTACAAGTATTTTATGAAGGCCATTCTGTAGATAGTAAAAAATTTATCAAAGAACAATTAATACCTACAAATAAAGCATTGAATGAATATATGGATATTAAATTGATGCCTTTTGCCTTGGGTCATGTAAGTTTGTAGCTTTTTATAAATAAATATGTTAATTACTAACAATATCAAAAGTATATTTAAAAGCAAATTAAGTAGACTATATACTAGAGTAGTATTTTTTTTTAAATACTTCTAAATTGGTAGTATGGAAAAGAGGTGCCAGTATAATTTAACTTGCGTAAGCCAAATAGCAGAATTTTTACTAAATAATATTACTAATATAAAGAAATTCTTTAGAAACAATTTTTCATTAATTTTTATCAAATATTTCTAGATTCAAAATCAAAATACTACTGAATATACTTTAACCTGTGGAAGTGATAAATCGAACAATTGTATAGAAGACAAAGTACATGCTTGTGCTATTTCATTATTAGACCAAAATAAAACTTTGGACTTCATAAACTGTACAATGTTGCTCGAAGAAGCTGATGTTAATGAAAAAATAAAAAAAGTAATAAAATATTAATAATTTATCCTTTATATATTGTCATAGTTGCGGGTTTTCTTGGCCATAATGAGGTTATGTCCGGTCAACAGTTGGTGTAAAAACCCTGTCAAATCAATGTAAAGTAGAGCCGACATCAAATAGTTGAAATAAAGCTGAGGAAATGATGATCTCTTAAATATTGTTATAGTGCTAGAAAACTAATTAAAATGATTTTGTATTTTTATTTATGAATTTAAAAGGCGAGCAAGAATAATTAAGGATTTGAGAAGGTTTATAAAAAAATTCATATTAAATATTTTTTTATGTAAAAAATTATTTTTTTCAATTTCTTCATAATTTAATGAAGAATTCCTATTAAAAAAGAATAAAGTATAGAATAGTAACTATTCAATACTATAAAAATAATTCATATTTAAGTAGTACAATAAAACAAATTTATATAATTATGAGTAGTTGGATTTTATTATTTTCAAAGTGTTGAGCTACCACTACCAGGATTAGGTAATTATATTATAATATGTGTAAAATGTATAAAAAGTACCTATAATATTATTAAAAAGTTTTTTTTAAGTCTAACTAGATCAACTGAAAAAATGTTTTTTTTAACATTACTTTAACTTTGATTAGGTATATTACGTTATATCATGAAACTCCTAAATTTACTGCAGTTTACAACTATAATATTTTTTGCCAATTATGGTCTATACTTAAATGTTATCCTTTTTTGTACTTTTATATTTTTGTGTAATAATGAGAATTACTTGATCTAATGAAATTTTAAAAGAATTTCAGTAATAATATTTTTATACAGGCCTCGAAACCAAAATGTTTTTGGTTTTATTAACATATCTAATAAGTTAATTGACCTATATTGAATTATTTTAAAAGAATTTGTAAGGTCATATTAATTTTTGAAACCGAAAGTAAATGTAATCATTTTCAAAACTTTAAACAAACTGTAAATTTGACCATATAAAGTTCAATTTGGATTTCAAAGGTAGTCGCATAATAAAATACTTATTAAAAATAAATAATATATTTGGTTTTTGTAATAATTTTTTCAACAATACTAAAAAAAAAAAATGTATATAGATGAACTAATGTACGATAAATTGACAAAAACCAAAAAATTCTATTCCTTAAATTTTATAGGTTTAAAATAAATATTAATTACATAAAAATTTATTTATTATGTGTGTTACGTAAAATATTTTTTTAAATAAATTTTTATGTTTAAAAGTAGACGTATAATACATAATATGTATGATACTGTATAATACTTATTAATAATAAGTTATTATACTGTGTATGTTATACTAACACAATCCTGACCACTTCTGCTTAATCCCCCCCTCCCCAAAAAAAAGTTTAATACAATCATTACTACTTTTGAAAAAATTCAAATACTTTATGAAGTTTGCTATTTTTAATTTATTACAATGTTTTTTAAAATCAAAAAAAAATTTAAAAGTCCAATGAATAGACATTTTGGCCTATGTTCTGAAAAATGTCAATCTTATATTAATTTCTGATGATACTATTGGGAAGTGTTAATAGGTCTTATTCTGGGGGATGTAAATATACTTAAAAAAATTGTATACCCTTCAAACCAAAACAAAGTGTACCTATACCGCTTAGGAATCTGACATTCCTGCATTTTTGGTAATAAAGTTAACTTAATTTTGTTCTATAAAGTTATATAGACATTGTACACAATGTAAAAAAAATATATATATATCTACAATGAATTACCACCAAAACTGTATTGACATATAATACTTCTAACAGAAGTAAATGGTTTCAAATATATTTACAAAAGTAAGAACATATTACAGAAGTGTTGCTACATGTGTGAACTAATTTCAATCACTGAAAATTTAAGTAAATGTCTGTACTTGCAGGTTTTAATAAATTAAATTTGTGAATGTTGCTTTAGATTCTAAATTATTAAGACGTACAATATAAACTATCAGACATTTTTAAAAGTAACCAATAATGTATTTTTTCTTTTTAGTGTGGAAATGATATTAAATTAGATTCAGATGTAATTAGTGGCATTTCTAACTGTGTCAATAAAGATTTTTATGCCCTTTTAAAGAAAGATGAAACTGCTCATATTGAAGCAAATATTAAGACTGTGCCAACAGTTTTCATAGCCAATGTAAGGGCAACCAGTTATTATAAAATAACATAATACTGTATGTTGTATAACATACTGATTTTTTTTTTTTTTTAGAATAATACAGAAGACACTGCGGAATTAGCAAAATCAGATTTGAAGAAAGCAGTTTGTGAATCAATTCCTGAACCTAAACCATCTCAATGTTCTACTAGTGGAGCTGATGCAATAATTGCTGGAATGTTACCTTTATTAATTGGTGCTTATTTTTTTATAAAATCATTTTAAATCTTGACATCTGTTAAAATTACTTACCTATGTAGGTTAAAATTCTAAAATTTAATTGTATTTTCCTATAAATAGCTATTAAATAAATAGGTTAAAATCTCCTTGTTTTAGTATTTTAATATTTACTATCATATATGTATTTACTATATCTAGATTTATAGCATTTCTTCATTTGTTATTATATTTTATTTTATATTATATTCTGTGTGCATTTAATCAATTTTTATTAGCTCAGTAGATGTGTCATTTACAAATTTTCCAGTAATTATTTGTATATTTTCCAAATAACGTATGGTTTGGTTGAAAAACTCTGTTCTTAAATTTATTTAAGATTTTAAATTTAATGTTCTCAATTATTTTCATAATTAATTCTTAACTACTAGAGTATCATATAATAAATAAAAATTGGCCAAACTAAAAATCATCTTTTACTTGCTACCATAATTTTAAGCATTGTTAAAAATATTATTTTATAATAAGATAGAGCTTATATTAAGTATTATTGTATTTCTAATGTGTGTGAAATCAGTTAACTATGTATTATTTTAATTGAGTTGTAATATTTTTTATAAGCTTATATTATTTCTTTACGCAAAATAAAGAATTTAAGCATATATTTCTTCATTCAATTATTAATTTTTATGTATTATTAATTTTTTTTATTTATATGTAAAGAACTAATTATATAAATAAACTAGTAGAATATTCTAAAAACACCATTTAAGAAAAAATTTTTTATCTTTCAATATGATGATGGATCAATTGATTTTCAATGTATTTAACTATATATAATTTATTAAAAAATATCTTAATTCAAATTTTATTATATCTATTATAATAGTTGGATGTGGCTGGTATAGGAAAAAATTGTATTAAATTTACTAAAATGAAGTTTTGTTACATCTCTTTAAAAAAGATAATGATTTAGCATAGATTTGCAATATCCTATTTTTAAAAATCATTAAATAATGAAAAAAATGTTTGCAATTTTTCATTTAATGCTATTAAGTTATACTGATTTTTCTATTTTAATTATTGACAAATATATAGATTTTTATTTGAAAGTAATACAATGAATACAAGGTGGTTTTTTTAATGCTGGCCATTCAATTTATCTTAAAATAAAAAGATAGGTATAAATAATAGAACATTTTAAACTTAAATTTTGAACATTTTTCGAAAATGCCGCGTCTTCTAAATATAGTTTAATTTAAAGATTATGTTATGTACTATAACTTAAAAAAAAAAGAAATTGTCTGGCGACCCATCACTATGGTAAAAAATGCTTCGATTCAAATCTGTAGATAGTGTATAATTTTTAGAAATTGGTAAATTATTTCAAAAGCAAAATGAACTTCTATTTTCTTATTTCCTGATTACAAGTTTTATGATGTATAAGAGCAATATAAGAATAAATATTTAATAAATTTATTTATTAAATTTGTTCGACTTCGATGGCCATTTGCATTTAGAGATGGGTCGTTGAGACAATTTTTTTTAACTTATAGTACGTAATGTAAGCTTTAAATTAACAGATATTTAAAAGACGCAGTATCTTTGACAAATTTTCAAAAGTTAAATTGAAAAAGATCTACTTATTATATCTATTTTTCAACGCCCCTCGTATAAGGGAAAATCGTCCGATTAAAAAAAAAAAAGTATGTCAGATGAAAGGGCTTTTAAAAGTATTTAGAAACAAAAGTTTATGTTGATCCATACATTTTTCAAAAAGTTATAACAAGAGAAATTGAGTGGCTATGCGTAAGAAATATACGGCAGTATGAGCTATACTTATCTACACTACTTACCCATTTTATTTATTAAATTCCTTGTTTTAAATACTCGATAAGTATTTATTTTTATATTTTTACTGAACATTTTTTGTGAGAAATGTTAAAATATGACTATTTTAAAATTAAAACAAAGGAGTATAAAAATGATTTAAAAAAAATTACAATAAAATAATTTTTACATCATAAGTAAAAACCCAGCACAGTGGCAACGTGGCATAGTTAAGACAAGTATAATGATATCTGACAGTGATTAAAATCACTATCATATAAACGCTTCGATGCAAATCAGTAGATAGTATTTAATTTTAAAAAATTGGTGGATTATTCTAAAAGCTACATGATTTCCTATTTCCTTATTTATATCTTGATTACAACTTTTATGATTTATAAGTGTAATATATGAATAAATATATATATATATATATATAAATTTAAATGATCCATTCAAAAAATTATAGCGTTATAAAGTTAAAAATATAAAATCGATAATTTTCACACAAAAATAGCATTTGGTAGCCATTTTTACCGTGAAGACAAAATAAAGTCCGAAATTTGTTTTTTCATAATAAAGTATATTACATAAGATATATATAAAAGTGTCAGACTTTCTGGAAAACTTTTAAAAGTTAAGTTGAAAAAGTAAATTTTTTGTGAAAAAGTTGTCATTTTTAATCCCTCCCTGTGGATAGGTAAAAGGTCAGATTTATAAAAAAAATATACCAAATGATAGATAAAGACATCATGCATCTATAAAAAAATAATTAGATTGATTTGGTCATTTTTAAAAAAAGTAATAGAAGTTTTAAGTAAAAAAAATTTCAAAAATTTGCGATTTTTGAATTTGTAATTTTTTTAGAGATTTCTCCCATTTACGTGAACGAGGGAAATTGTTTCAATTTTTAAGGGTAATATCTTCGACTAGATACGATTTGTGATCTTTTGACGTATCGTTGAAAGAAATCAGTTTGGTGAGAGCTGAGAAAAAATGGTAACAGACACAAAAAAAACACATCATAATAAAATTAATACCTTCTCAGCTTTGCATCGAAGTTAAAAATAAAATAAATAAATATATTATAGTAAAATTAATACCATCCAATTTACATCGAAGCTTAAATTATGAGTTCTGCGATATTTGATATGTCTTTTGTTATTGACTGGAACAATAATTATCATATTAAAAAACTATCAGTTACCGATACGGATCCATTCAGCGCACAGACATAAGCTCATTCACTCAAAATGTTAAATCAAATACTGTAATCTGGTTATAAAGACACTACTACTGAATACCCTGATGTCAAACGTTCCGAATTGGGTCCTAGATGGACCTGATGTTAGTGAGCCGAGGGACGTGGGGTCTCGTTCAGGCGTTCGCCGACTCAGTTATGTGACGCAAAGAGTTAGCTATACACCTGTGACAGAGGAAACCCCGCCATCCGGTACAGGAGGACTTGAGGCTCTGGTTTAGACCGCCGGCTTGGGTTTTGTTATGTGTTAATATGTTTTATTGTGAGTTATAAAGCGCCGACCTTCGCAAAGTCCATCCTCCACCTTGACGTGGAATAGCCTGGGCAACGGACCCGTCTTTTGGGTTCAGCTAACGGGGGAGGCCACGTTGTATTGTGATTTCTATAGATGGCGATAAAAAGTATCGATAAGTTGTCATAGGTAATGATTTGTATTATTAGGTACTATTTATAAGTGAATATTTTTGTAAATCATTCAAAATGTTCTATAAAACTATAAAATAGGTTACATTAAAAATCATTTCATTATTACAACGAGTTTAGAATTTTTAAATTGTTCAAATAAGTAAAGAATAAAATTTAAAATAAGAATTTTATGGTGCGTTGTTTTTACAGTTTTAGTGTATAGTTGCACGTCACAAGAAGTCAATGCATATGATGATTACTGGAAATATGTCCGCAATGATATGTGGATTATTCGACTTGAGGATGGCACCAGCACATTTGTTGAATCGAAATATGTAAATTTTGACCCAGAAAATTATTTTGTTTTGGTAAAGAGCTTTAAAGTATTTATTTTTAATTTCTTATTATGGGCTGTTGATTTGTTTTGAAACACAACGCCCTGAGGGATATAACAGGGCACAAGCAATTTTAGTTAATGTTATAAATAAGGTTATGGAATTCATGGACAATAAATATTCAGCTATATGTGATTTAAATACTCCAATATTATATTTATTTTCTAAAGGTTATTTACTATATATCTTTTGCTTAAAATTTTTTAATATCATGGCTCAAATAGTTATAGAGTATGGTTCACAGATAATCCCACTAATAATAATACTACATCGTATGAAAACCCAAGTAGTCGTTATAATTGGCTAATATACAAAACTGTTGGAATTCAGTAGATATGAATAATACAATGATGTATCCTCTGAAAAAAATCATGAAGTTGATCAAGTTGTGGTATATTATGTAAAGTCTACAACGTTTTATGTTAAATGAATACAAATTAATTATAAAAAAAAAATAAAAATACTATAACTAAAATACTCAGAAATTGATGATTTATTCTAATATTCTTCATACTATTAACCTTAAATATTGAAAAATGTAATTTTAATTATTTATATGTATTGTATCTCAAATAATAACTATCCAGCGATTGTTAACTACGCTCAATTCACTTTTTTATTTGTCAACTATTTTCCGATTTTTCTGTAAGGTAAAAAATGTGCGTTACAGTTTTTCTATAGATCAGCTAATAACAATTTGCGCTAATCACAGAACTAGCAGAAAAAAATTTTTCATACGTAGATTTCGTACTCCTTGCAAGGGGCTTTTATAAATTCGGCCTGTAACAAGTACATAGTTTGCCACTTGTAATAACTAGCTAACTAACTAAAACGACTAGCTATAGTAGAAAGGGTCGCCACAACCTAGGCGAGGTGTCACACCTATCAGATATGATTACCGGACCACAAGTGGAATTTAATTTTAAGTTAATTAAAAGTATAATCTAAGTTAATATGTCGTTATATGTATAAATTATTATAATACCCCGTGGTTTATTAAACACAATTATGACAATCAAAGTTTTATGTGGTAGATATGTAAAACATACCGTAGCCCGTGTCTAGATTAAGCTACAGGGATAAAATACACGCGAGTAATTAAGTTACTCGCACAATAAAATAAATATTACAGTTGAAATTAATAAGGAAATGTAATGTAATTGTTAAAAAAGAAAATTAAGTTAAACATGGACAAAAATGCGAATGTATCAAAAACCATGTATACAAATAAAGGCAACAAAAATAAAATAAAATATTTAAACAAATAATATTACAAACATCACGGACGGTATTGGAACATATCCGTTAATGTTAATCGGAAATTAATGAAGAACACCAGGAGCGGTTTGGACACTCGCTCTTTAGCGTTGGCTAGAAGAAAAGGGAAACACGTGCTCTCCACACATAAACAAAATTAAGTTAATTTACGATAAAATAAAAGTGAAATAAAATAATTATAAAATATAGCTCATTACATAAAACGATAACCGGTCTCCGAAGAGACCCATCCGATGATCTGGATGCTTCGCCGAAAAGACCTGGCCGTTCGCCGTTGGCGGCTCTACTCCGTCATTAAAAAAAAATGACAATAAAACAATAAACGTGTGCACTTTAGCACGGTCAATGACAGTAGAAGGAATGGAGAAGAGCCAACACCGATCTAACGGCAATTTCAAATCGATAATGGCCAGTCTTTTTGAAAGGGATCAATACTGATAAACAATTCGATTTTAATTATATTTCTCTTTTACCGCCTTATCTAGCGGTCAACGGCCAAATAATGAGTGGTTGACACCGCTGTGCGAGGAAAAGTTTCTTTCGCACGATAAAATAAATAAGTAGACATAACAAAAAATCATAAACGGTCCACCTTCGAATTTGTGACGTTACACCTATTTTTACCCATAGAAAATCTGGAGTACAGATTACACACATTTTTTTGACCTGAAGAAAAACCGGAAGCGGGTTACATACAACTTTTCTCTTACTTGTAATTAACTAATAAGTATTGATTTATGCACAATTTTAGGAAAATATACAACACAATTACTATTTTATGTAATTTATATTTTTCTTTCCATTGTTAGTAATTTTGTTGTTATCTTATAAAACTATTTTGAGTGTACTTTCAGAGTTTACTTAATAAATAAAAATGCAACACACATATATATAGATAGATATATTTATATTCAAGATCCTTTTCTACGCCTCATGAAATATCTTCAACAATTCTCAATAAAAAATTACAATTTTTAAAATTGTTAAATTTTGACATTTTTTTTCTCTAAAAATTACCATAACTTATTGAAAAATGAATGAATCAAAATAATTTTTTTAGCTTCGATGCGAAGCTAAAATAAATTTTGTGTCTGTTACCATTTTTTCTCCGCTCTCACCGAACCGATTTCTTTCAACGATACGTCAAAAGATCACAAATCGTATCTAGTCAAAGATATTACCCTTAAAAATAGATAAAATTTCCCTCGTTCCCGTAAATGGGGGAAATCTCCAAAAAAATTACAAGTTCAAAAATCGCAAATTTTTGAAATTTTTTTTACTTAAAACTGCTATAACTTTTTTAAAAATGACCAAATCAATCTAATTATTTTTATATAGATGCATAATATCATTACCTTTCATTTGGTATATATTTTTTTTATATCTGACCCTTTACTTGCCCACAGGAGGGGGATTTAAAATGACAACTTTTTCACAAAAAATTAATTTTTTCAACTTAACTTTTGAAAATGTTCCGAAAGGTCTGACATTTTTATATATATCTTAAATTAGAGCTAATGTAATATACTTTATCATAAAAAAAAAAAATTTCGGACTTTATTATCTTCACGGTGAAAATGGCTACCGAATGCTATTTATGTGTGAAAATTTTCGATTTTGTATTTTACATTTTTAACTTTATTATGCTATAACTATTTGAAAAATGTATGGATCAATACAATTTTTTCATGAGAAGTAGTATTTATATACATCTTTCATTCTACATACTGTTTTTTTAAACCGGTCCATTTCCCTATATACGAGGAGGGTTCAAATCTAAAAAAAACCCAGCACAGGGGGGTCGCGGCACAGTGGTGACGTAGCATAGTTGGATCAAGTATAATGATATCTGACAGTGAATAAAATCACTATAAAAAAAAAACGCTTCGATGGAAATCTTTAGATAGTGTTTAATTTTAAAAAAATTGGTGTTTTATTCCAAAAGCTACTTGATCTGCTGGTTCCTTATTAATATCTTGATTAAGATAAAGTATGTCGAATGAAAAAGGGATTATTAAAAAATATTATTTCTCATAAAAAAATTGTGTTGATCCATACACTTTTCAATAAGTTATAGCATTATAAAGTAAAAAATGAAAAATATAAAATCGAGAACTTTCACACGAAAATAGCATTCGGTAGCCATTTTCGCCATGAAGACAAGTCCAGAGGTCAAATTTTTTCTTTTCATAATAAAGTACATTACATTAGCTTTAATTTAAGATATATATAAAAGTGTCAGACCTTCCGGAACATTTTCAAAAGTTAAGTTGAAAAAGTTATTTTTTTGTAAAAAAATTATAATTCTATAGAAAATTATAATCATTTAAGTACAAGAAAGTAATGTCGTTATACACCGGTATACTTCTACACTAAAATTGACTTCTCACTATGGAGTTTTAAAATATTATTAAATACATTTTCAAAACAAAATCTTTTGCAGAGGATAGCTCCAGTACAAACCCTGTACTACTACCGGTTATAACTACCAACATCAGCAAAAACAGAGCAGGTCCAGATTTAAACATTAGGGTTACAATGCGCCAAAAGCCCAGAGGACAACAGTTGGCGATTGTTACTCTTAGCGTGGAGGCGGCCAGGTTGGTGACAGATCAGGGACGTATATGCTTTGGGTATGTCTTTTGCAGAGTACGGTTGTGGCTAGATAAAAAGACTTTAGATGTCTAGCGACTGGTCACGAGACCAGTGATTGCAATGGCTCAAACCGTTCAAAGTGCTGCTGGGGATGTGGCTTTGTTGGACACTTTGTTGAAAGCTGTTCAGAGTCGGAAGAGCGCCGTAGAAAATTTGGTTAACTGCTGCGTCAGGAGACTTTATTGTCTCAGGAACATTGATTAGAATTCTACAGATAAATGTTGACGGAGATAGAGCTGCACAAGACCTCATGATATAGACGGCCAGGCACTATGGAGCGGACATTACTATTGTCAGTGAACAGTATCGCGGTGGCAGTCAGGATGAGGGCTGGTTCAGCGATCAGCCGGGTAGGTGTGCTCTTGTCATTACTGCCGGAGTCGACGTGGTAGGACCCGCTGATTTGGGATTCACATGGGTCGAGATGATGGGCATGCGGATATATCGCGTTTATTTCTCTCCCAACGTAATGCATTTGCAATAAAACTTGTTCCTGGACAGGCTGGAAGCTATTGTGCGAGCGGTCAACTGTCCGGTGGTCATTGATGGTGATTTTAACGCCAAACGGGCAGAATGGGGATCAGTTTTTTACAGGGCACGGGTGTTACCAAGCGTACCTACATAAATATAAGAAAGTGCAGAGTGAT